TGCAAATTCCGTTGGTTCAAATTTCATGCGCATGAGAATTTTTCGAAATAGCTTATAAGTTTTTGGAATATTTCGGAGTCTATTTATTGTGGCTTCTTGGCGTTAAGATATATATTAAATTCGATGAATCTTTTTTTTTATTTTAATAATATTAATCCATAGAATTAAAATAAAAAAAAGTTTATCGAGTTTGACTTGGTGGTTGCTGAGATATCTTTGCTCAAAGTTTGAAGAAAATTTTTACGCATCTGTTTTGATAGATGTTTTAAAACTTTGAGTAAAGATATCTTAGCAACCACCAAGTCAAATTTATAAAATTTTTTTTTGTTTAAATTCTATAGATTTATAGAATTAAAATAAAAAAAAATTTATTGAATTTAACTTAGTAGTTGAGATATTTTCGCTCAAAGTTTAAAAAAATTTTAGTTTGCAGGAGGGTATGAATATATTTAAATTTTAGATTTTGCCGTATACATATATTTTAATGCAGATTTATACATCATCTAGTTATATTTTATACAAAAAAATCAAATTATAAAATAAAATATAATTGAGCCATAACTAGTGATGTAAATAAATTTATATCTATATTGAAAGTTATATTTATGCCCATGAGTGTTATTTCGATTTTTACCCCGAATTAAGCTTAATTTAGGCCAAAATTCAAAATTACACGTTATTACGCAAAAATACGGTAAATAGCAATAGTGATAATAATAATACTATTTTAATAAATTCGTGCACTATACTGCTTTGCCGGCATTATAAGCAGTGTTGGAAATCTAAATCGATCTTAATGTTCTCGGGCAATTTTTTTTTTTATATGTTTATTAATAAAAAAAATTGGAAAATTGATGTTCTCAGAGAACATTGAGAACATCAGATTTCCTACACTGATTATAATAAAAAATCATGCGCATGATTCTATGATTTCATTCATCATGCGCATTGCGCATCAAACTGTGATGTTTTAAATTTTTATCATTGAGTTTGGAAGGTGAGATTTTGTATATTCGATAATTTAGTGTCATTGTACATTTAACTATTTCCGCATTTACTCTTGTCTAATAGTAGTTTGTCTATTAAAAAATAATTAAGAAAGTTTTACATTCTAAAAAAGCTTAATATTCAAAAATAAAATAAAATACAATAAAGGATTGATAAAAGCACAAAAAATAAAGTTGAATTCAAATTTTCTGGAGATTGTAAGGTCGATTTCTCTAAAAAAAATTTCGCTATTTAAGTTAGGATTAGGTTTTGCTATTAAGTTAGGCTAAAAAGAACTTTCCTAGTACCAAAATTTCTCAAGAAAATTTAGTGCTTAGAAGGCAGTCTCATAGGTAAATTTTGACTATAAACGTCTTTTGATTTGTTTTTGATTTTTCATGTTACTTTTACGTTACACCTGATCTTTTTAGCCAGCGAAACTTTAAGAGTCTGCATAGTAAAATTGTGTCAGCACTAGGCGGAGAACAAATTTTTCAGCAATTTAGACAGTGATGATTATCAAGATTATGTGCATGTATGATTTGCATGCATTGCATGACATTAGTTACAATAACGAACTTATATGTATATATTAATACTCTTATTGGAGGCATTGCACTACGTATTCTTATGTATTACCCGTTGTTGATGTTGTGAGGAACAGACCAGATAATTGTGGAAGTGATGTGCTTTAGTGGTACGTTCGGAAAACAAATACCGTGAATATAAGCATTTCCATTTCACAAGCTTGATATGTAACTTGTATACTGTACATAATAGAATGTCTGCAAATATTCCAGCCAAAGACTTCGTTCCTTTGTTAAGAGAAATAATACAAGTTGCTGATGAAATTATAGAATTTTATCAAAATGTAAAGTATAATAGACGAATTTGTGGATTCCTAATTCTTAAAATACAAGTAGCTCGTGCATCAATAAGCAATCTAGAAATTTGTGCGAATGAATTTCCTGAATCCACTGATTTTTTTACTCCAGACAATAGTATAAATTTACGAAATTTTAAATTTGTTATGAGAAAAATTGAAGAATTCATCAGAAAAACTTCAAGATATTCAAATTAGCTACCGATTATTTTTTGATCCAACTGCTATAAAAAATGA